ATATCATTCTAACCTTCCAATCATCTAATATCCACTTGAGATCTTTTTCTTTCACCTATTAAACCAAGAGTAATGTTCACCTACCCACGGTGGACACGTGTTAATATGTCCACCGCTTCTGTGGCATGCACACATTGATAATGTATTTTTTTGAACATATTCACATTATCAATGTGTGAGCATTGCTCATTAAATCAATGTACATTTTGCCAATAAAAACAACATACACAATGAGTTGTTATTCCATCGCTACTCATCGAAAATCAAGAAAAACATAAAGAAGAAATAAATATTCTGTACTGATGAAAAATTCGTGAGGAGTCATGAAGAAAAAGTTAAGAACACTATCAAATAATATTTTTTGTTATTGGGAGGTATAAGTTTTATTTTGTATGAGTATGAAAGTCGAATTTTAAACTGATTTGTTATAAAATCAAGGTGATATAATTCTCAGATTTCAACATATTATTATAATAACTTGTCATAAGATATTGATGATAATTTGACAAATTGATATGTATTCCTCTTTAAAATCAGAAACATCTTTGAACAAATACAGATTAATAAAATTTAAAACATAACGACAACAAATCTATAAAACTGTGATATATATATAAGAGAATTTATTGTGTAGTCTAAATTTGAGTTTCAAATTTAAGAGTCAAATAAGTAATTATTTATAACTTACGAGTCAATATTAACTTAGACGTAAATGAAATAGTCAATTATTTATCGTTTAATAAATTACTCAACTACTTAACTTTTTTGTTTTTGAGAGTTTATACAATAACAAATTTATTTTAATTAATGAACAATATAAATTTTATAGTATACTAATTATTCACATAGATTTTTAAATATATGATATGATTTTACTAAAATAATTATTTTATGGAATCACATTATAGTCAAATCAAATTTATTTATAAAAAATTTAAAATGACACTTATTTTGAAATGAATATAATATAATTTATTATCAGTTATGCACACCATACGAGTTGTGTATTTTTTTTAAATTGACATGCTTTAAAATGACACTTATTCTGAAATTAATATAATATAATTTATTATTAGTTATGTGTACCATACGAGTTGTGTACTAATTTTAAATACACGTTTTTATGTAATTTTGCACGATATAAAATTCGTATAACATTTTCAATTAATTAATATATGTAAATTGTATTGCATATTGCTTTCATATTTTAATTTATAAATATTATTTAATGAACATTTAAAATAAATATAATGAATATTTCTTACCCGTGCATCGCACGGGATTCATACTAGTTTATATTAAAGGGGATTCTATTTAATAAATATAATAGTTAGAAAAGTCAAACTTAATTAATGAATTTCTAATTTTATTAAGTATTTAATTAATGTATCTAATATTTTGGGTATAGAAATCAAATTAGCATTTAATTAGTTCCTAAAATATTGGGTATGCAATATTAATTTAGGAATATCCATGTAGTTCCTAAAATGTTGGTATGCAACACGTAAAAGAAGATTTTTTTTTTTTAAATATAAAATATTGTAACACGTAAAACTATTCTAGTTATTTTTTATTTTATTTTACATATAATGCATCCTGCAAAATTGGATTTAGTTTTATTCTCCATACAATTGGTTGTAACTTTTTCAGTTGTACTTTATTTATTTATTTATTTTACACTTTTAAATTAATGAAGCTTTCCGAAAATACCAAATCAAATGATTTATGAAAGTTTTTTTTTTTCTTAACAATTTCAAATCTATATACCCAACTCAAAAAACTCATTGGATAAATATGGACGAGTTTAAGAAAATTTTATAACCGAGCTTACAAAATTCCATCTCCACGAGTAAAAAAAATCACATCCCTCATCTATCATAACAACTTTAAAGATAAATAAATAAAGTCTAATTACTACTATAAATCCATTATCTATTTAGATTTTTTTAAAAAACTAAATTTCACCT